TCAATCAGTAACGCGCGCGGGTGGCCCCGTGGGACTCAGAGCGAACGGCGCGTTTTTCCCCGGGTCGCTGTCTCGCGCTTTCGCTAACGCCGTTCACCGAGATCATGCCCCCAAACCTGGCTTAGTCTTGCACGAGAACCTCGGGGTTAACGGACAGAAATATGTTCAGGGTGCGGGCAGCGATGGGGACTCATTTCGTAATCCAGCTGCCTGTTGTCTTTCTATTATATACCTGCGGCTGACTCCTTCCGTTGTGGTTTCGCACGCTACAATCGCAATCGTCTGAACCCAGTTCTCGATACCTTCACAGTCACAAAGACCGCATTTGAGAATCTCGATTGCAAAGAAACCTTTGCGCACGGAAATCTCACCCGGATTTTGTAGCGACAGCTACAGCGACCGCACAACATGTCTTCATCAACACGAGAACCATACCGCCAACATTCGAGGAGTAGCTCAGATACACATGTTCCGGACTTAGAAAAGGGCGACGCGAGACCAAACAAAGAGGAGGAAGAGGCTGTGGAAGAAAAGGTAAGCATTATCAACTTTTCACGACGCGATCTCCATCAGAACACTTCTGCTACTGTCTGAAGACCTTGACGTCAGTGTGCGACTTGTTGCGCATGACACGGGAAGGCAATCAGGCTAAGTTATCCTGGCATCGGGCTGTCGGCTACTGCACCATCATCACGAATCGTCAGTTTTGAAACACTCCGAAGAAGAGCTAACATTTCCAAGCAACCCCAGGAAACAAGCGATGATATCGGCGCAAACCTCGAGAAGCATCTATCAAGAAAGAGCACAAAGAAGGACCAGCTCGCACCAGAGAAATACCCCCTATCCGACCTCGACAATAACCTGGTCGGCTGGGACACGCAAGATGATCCCGCAAACCCACGTAACTACACAACGAAAAGAAAGATCACACTCCTTGGATTAGTCGCCGCCATCACCTTCGTCAGTCCACTCGCCTCGTCCATCTTCGCGCCAGGCATTCCGTTCGTCAATGCAGACTTTGGCAACACATCGCAGCTTCTTGGATCCTTCTCCGTCAGTGTCTACGTCCTAGGTTTCGCATTCGGCCCGCTTTTCCTCAGTCCGCTCTCCGAGATCTACGGAAGATACATCGTACTCAACTGCTCCAACCTCTTCTTCTGCTGCTTCACCCTCGGATGCGCGCTCGCACCTAATCTCGGTGGCCTCATCGGCATGCGCTTCCTCGGTGGTGTCGGCGGCAGCGCATGTTTGACAATTGGCACCGGTGTCATCGCCGACATGTTCGTGCCTGCGCAGCGAGGAAAAGCTGTGTCGCTTTACAGTACAGGCATTCTATTCGGCCCTATCCTCGGTCCTATCTGCGGTGGTTTCATTGCGCAACGCGCAGGCTGGCGATGGGATATGTGGGTCGTACTCATCGTTGGTGGACTCTTGACAGTGGCTCTCTTCGTCTTCAACAGCGAGACGTACCACGCTGTGCTGCTCAACCGCAAGACTGAGCGTTTACGCAAGGAGCTGAACCGCCCCCAGCTTCAAAACATCATGACATACGAGAAGGATGCGGCTCTCCTAAGTCCTCTTCACATCCTCGGAAACGGAATCACGCGCCCGCTCAAGATGCTTACTCGATCGCCCATCGTTCTGCTCTGCTCGCTCTACATGTCCTTCCTCTTCGGCCTACTGTTCCTCCTCTTCACGACCATAACACCCGTCTTCATCCAAACCTACGGCTGGTCTCCCGAAATCACCGGTCTGGCATACCTGGGTATCGGAATCGGAAACTTCATGGGCATCGCTTTCGTAGCGAAGACAAGCGACGCAACCATCATCCGACTAGCGAAGAAAAACAAGGGCGTTTACGAGCCAGAGATGCGCCTACCACTTTGCGTGTTCTTCGGCAGCCTGATCCCGATCTCGTTCTTCTGGTAAGCCCTCTCTTCACCCCATACACAGATACACACCACTAACAACCCCAGGTACGGCTGGACAGCCTACAACAAAGTCCACTGGATCGTCCCCATCATCTCCCTCGTCCCCTTCGGTTTCGGCCTCATGGGCATCTTCGCGCCCCTCCAGACCTACATGATCGACTGCTTCCCTCAATTCGCCGCTTCCGCTATCGCTGGTATGACAGCTCTGCGTTGTCTGTTCGGTGCCCTGCTTCCGCTTGCGGGACCGACTATGTACGAGACGTTGGGGCTGGGCTGGGGAAATAGCTTGCTGGGTTTTCTGGCTGTGGCGTTTATTCCTGTGCCGGCGCTGCTGTTTAGGTATGGGAAGGTTATTCGGGAGAAGTATCCTGTTAAGGTTTAGATGGGGAAGAGTGAAGGAGAGGATGGGCGTTCGCGCTTAGGTTTTATGATACCCGATAATGTATTTGTAATGTTTTAATGGCTTCGGGGTGTGTATCAAATGTAATGAAGTTAATAGACACATACACGGATCTTGAATGCGCTTCCCGCCTCTTGTCGTACCAAGGCGCTAGCACACGCTAGTCATCCGTCACTGCGTAAGGCTGCCTAGGCGAGATCGTGGCCCCCGCAGCTTCACGAGTACTCACCACATTCGCATTTCCGCTCACCTTGTTCGTTCATGATCGAAGTTCATCGCTGCCTTCGGGCGGTCGCATCCAATCTCCTACCATATTTCCATCATAGGGACCAGCACATCTGACCCTGTACCTATCGCGCCATCTGGCGCCGCTCTGCTATAGCCGCATGATCAATGGCGTCAAAGCCGATCGTAAGCACGCGTCATGCGTCTCCGTACGATGATCAAGCGCTCGGGAAGGACCAAATACGCCTCCTTACCGTAAAGTCCATACAGGGCACTATTTCGCTACACACAGACGTGTACGAGCTCACTGAAGATCTTGAGTACGATGCAGTATCATACGTTTGGGGCAGTCGTCCAGCCTCTCAGATCGTCATCTGCAACAAGAGACTCCTAATTGTCACTCCCACTGCGCTAGAGATGTTGCATTACCTACACCGATACCAAGCGAAGACCGCGACACGGAAGGTATGGATCGACGCAATTTGCATCAATCAATCGGATCAGAAAGAGAAGAGTACTCAAATACCCTTGATGCGCGACATCTATTCCCGAGCGGCAACTGTCATCGTATGGATGGGTTCTTCGACACCCGAAACCGATGTCTTTTTCGCAGAGTTCCAAGATGTGAGGAAGAAATCAAAGTACTGGATAGAACTATACGTTAAAGACCCTGATTGTCGCCGTGTATTAGACAGCGAACGTCCCCGTAATGTAGAAGCATTCTTTGAGGGGCTATCTCAACTCCTCAACAATGAATGGTTCAAGCGTCTATGGACACATCAGGAGATCATCCTTCCGCAAAATGCCACAATGATTTGCGGGAGATGTTGCGTCGACTTCGATGAGTTCGCAGAGTTCGTCGTGGATGGAGTCTACCGTAGCCACTACATCCCAAGATCTTCAAGTACAGAAACAGATGCGAGCGTTGATGAGGCACATGGTGCCTGCATAGTAATCCAGTCCTACCGCAGAAGAGTTGCTGGAAAACGCGATATCATTGCGATAGAGTCTAAGAATGTTCCGACCAATCTAAATTGCCTACGCACACGACATGTAAAAGAGCCGGTGGATCGTGTTTGGGCGATCGTAGGACTCTTGGATGACGACCTTCGGGAGAAGTTAGCCTCGTCGGTTGACTACAGTGTCGGAGGTCGAGATGAATACTGGAAAACGTGGATCATGTTCGCCAAGGCATTGATGAAGGAACCTCGTGGAATGACTCTATTGAACATTCCTCCTACCCAGGAAACCAAACCTTCGTACTTGCCATCTTGGTGCCCAAGTTTTCACGGAAAGCCATCTTGCAAAATGGAGATCGATAGACAATGGCAAGACCCGATAGACAAAATGCCCGTCGACATGCGTTGGGCTTTCTCTGAAGATAACAGCGAAGAAAAAAGTGCAGAACGAGCTAGAGCGGTCCGTGAGCACCCGAGTTCGTTCGTCAGTACCGTAGAACATGACAATTTGCTTCGAATTCGAGGTTTTGTGCTGGACACTGTCGAAGAGGTAGTGGAACATGAGAAATTCCTTGACATGGCGTATGAGAGTTATGATCCGGATTCGAAAGAGCACATGACCTTGTACGATATTGCTGTTACTCAGCATATGAGAGGCCTAGATCTTGCTCGGCGCGTATTCTATGGGCGCAGCGAAGGCATTACCGATGTACCGGTTGATTTCGTCATGGCCCTCCTCTTGGATTGCCGACTCACCGACGAAGCGAGCAACAATTATGACGAGACTGTACCTTTGTTGGCGAATATGTATACTCCGAAAGACTACAAAATTCATTGGAAGCAAGTATGGTGGCTTCGACAGTTGTCCACGATACGCGGACATACCTTCTTCAGCACGAAAGGCGGTCGCATTGGATACGCTCACCCAGGTTGCCAACCAGGAGATCAAGTAGCTACCTTCTACGGAGCAAACCCGCTATACATCCTTCGGAAACTGACCCCGACGAACGACGACATCGACTCAACCGCACAAACATCAGACCACGTTCAGTATATGGGCGCTGCATTTGTCCCTCGTCTCATGGAGCAACATCAGAGAGACGCCGCTTGGATTGTACCCGCCGACACTATGTTCATCATCCACTGAGAGTTTTGGATATCTTCGCGTGGACTGCATCGTGCAAGGAGGTCGTTTAGAAGAGCAGGAGACGATGGCATGCCAACGAAACAAGAAGTCATGGCTTTACGACGGCAACATTTCTCGTTTTGTTTTTGAAGATCGGTATCGAAGAACTGTCATTACCTACAACTCTTATATCAGTATCAAGCAGCTCACGAAATCATCAGGTCAGGATCAATATCTCATGTGTAGGCCGGGGTTCAAGCAGTTCTGTAGTCATCTTACAAGCTTTCGCTCTCGATATCTTGCACAGCATAACCATGGTATCTCCATTCAATACGACCCCTCTCCTCCCAGCAACCCACCTACAACTTCCTACTCCTAACAAGCCCAGACTTAATACCCGTAAGTTCACCCCCATAGTTCGCACTGCCCTTGGCCGCAGCCCCCTTGTCAAACACCTGCTTCATACTCTTGAGCTTCTTCTGCTTCTCCTTGTACTTCTCCTTCTTCTTAACACGCGGGTTCCGCACGCTCTTTTTGCGGTGGGGCGTCAATCTGATCATCACGTTAGCATTTGTGCCGGAAAAGTCGGGGAAATGGGAACGGGAGATGGAGGAAAACATACCCCTTATTCTTCTGAATCTGGTAAGAAATCATACGACGCCCATCATCGCCAACGACTTCCTCTTCGATAACCTGAGCGCCTTGCTTCTTAGCGAGGGCGTAAGCCTCCGCGCGTTCAAGTTTAGTCTGCTTCTTGTCCTCCGAGCGCGCGGCGATCATGTCGTAATAACCGTCCTCATCTTCAAAGTCGTCGCGCTTTGTCGCTGGCGCTTCATCAGCAGACGAAGCGCCATCGTCTTCGCCCAGCGCAACACCAGGACCAGCGTCCTTGTGTTGCCCACGCTTCTCGGCTTCGGCCTGCAGACGCGCTTGTCTGTCCTTGAGGCGTTCGCGGTGCGGGATGTCGGCGTCGCCGCCCATGTCTTTGCCGGCGGCGTCGCGCTTGTTTGCCTTTTGAGCGATTTGCGAGGTGTAGAAACGGAGGGATTTCTTCTTCTTGGCTTTCTCGGCGGCTTCGTGCGCGGTGAGTTCCGTTTCCTCGCCGAAGTCCGAGTCGTCTGCGTTGAGGAGGTTGAGCTTGGGTTCTGCGGTCTTCTTCTTGCGCGATGCCTTCTTGAGGGCGGCCTTGTCGGCGAGGGTGTCGAGTGATGCGAGGTCTTGTTCCGTCTTTGCGAGCTTCGCGGCGCGTCGCGCTGCTGCTTCTGCTTGCGCTAATTCTGCTGCTCGTTCCGCTCTGGTCTTCTTCTGCTTTGTGGGTTTCTTGACGGTCAGGTCGTTTTCGAGTTCCTCGGCGCTCACGTCCTCCATAGCTGAGTCGTCGTCACCGGTCTCTACCATGGGATCTGCGATAGGTAGGTTTTCTATCCGCGTCCATACCTTCTGGCACTTCAGCAAGGTCTCCATAACTGGGTGTTCGTGTAGTTCAGCAGGATCCATTGCGATGACAGGCGACCCATCGTCCGTTGCAGTGGAGCCGAGTACAGCAAAGTACATGGCCATCGCTGCGAGATATGCGGCGCATGCCCGGTATTTTGTGACAGCCTTTGGTGTTGGTGGAATTCTGTCCGCCTTCCCAGACTTCGCCATTTGTGCCTTCAGCACCTTCTCGGCGGCCTTTGCGGCGGCGGCCAATTCCTCGTGTAGGGGCTGTAGTCGGAGGTATTCTTTCGAAATGTGCTCAAACTCGGGGTATCGCGTGCGCATGATCTTCATCCTCTCTTCTTCGGTCATGTTGTCCGTAATTTGAAGTTGCGGCAGGACCTCCGTCACGACAGCGCCGCCTTCTGCATCTTTCTCACCATCTTGCGCCATCCACTCGTCCTCGTCGAAGCCAAAGTCTGCCTCCGTCATGCTCTGTAGCTGCTTCTTTTGTATGCGCCTCGCTTCCGCTTCCTCGTCTAACGCATCTTGCTCCGTTTCTATTGCGTCGGCGTTGTAGTAATCCTTCTTCGAGGTACCCCATCCACCAACGTCTTCGTCTTCCTCGTCGACTGGTTTGCGCTGTCCCGTGACATCATCTCCAGACTCGTCGCCGGTGTCCTGGTCGTCGAAATCGTCTTCATCGTCGTCGTCGCTGCCGGCGTCGAGGATTTCTTCGTCTGAGGCCTCTAAAAATTTGTCTAGATCCAGATCAGCTATCGCATTCCAAACACATAACACCGCCTGACTAACCCTCTTCCTGATACTTTCTCAGTCTCTTAGCCGCCGGACCCTCGTCCAGCAGTATCTTGTCGCGATTGATATGGAACTCGTCCTCCGAATCCGCGACGTCCTCGTACGAGTTGACAGCCATTCTGGAATCCTCCTCTTTTAGCGCTTTCGGCGCGCGCGACCCTCCGCTACCAGCCTTTCTCTTTTTGGCCATGATTGCGATATGTGTTGTGGCGTGGCGTAAGTGGTGGTCGCAAATGTCGCGCGGGAACTTTTTTTCGGTAAGAAGTCTTGGCTTTACCGCGGAGGTCGGAAAGTCTCCACTAGTGGAGCGGAGCTAAGCTGCAGGGCGTGTGCGTAAGTAAGCACGCCGCATGTGAATTCGATACTGACACGCGATTTCACCGTACACCAATTGAGCATTGCGGTACCAATTCGTCCGCGTAAGCAGAGTCAGATACTTGGCGTTCCAGTGCCTCCCTTCTTCGGGTGTATAACTGGCTCCCTCCATGTCACAATTGCTTCTTGGAGCGACCATCATCCTCTTGGTGTTCGTTGGAATTATTAGTGCGGACATCATGGGTTTCGCATTCTGGAAGGGCAACCAATTCCCGGTGGAGGGCAGAGTAAGCTTCAGACCTCCCATTCAATTCGAGCACGCGCTAACGGTATATATAGACGGTCCTACTCACGGGCTCCTCCCAAGGAATGGGCTGCGAAATCGCCCGTCTCCTCTCCGCCCGCGGCGCAAACCTCATCCTCGTCGCACGTACCGCGAAGAACCTCGAGACCGCCCTTGCCCACGCAAAAGCTCATGCCAAGAGCCCCTCGATCCAACGCTTCACCTACATCGCCGCCGACGTAACCTCTGAGTCTGAGAACACGCGTATTCTGAAGGAAGCTACAGCCTGGAACAACGGACGCGTGCCAGAGATAGTGTGGTGTGTCGCGGGATCTTCAGTGCCAGGCCTCTTCATCGAGACGAGCACTGAGACGCTGAGAAGACAGATGGAGCTGAACTACTTCGCGTCAGCATACATGGCACACAAGACACTGCAAGCGTGGTTTTACCCCGAAGTACCGTACAAGCCGCAAGAAAAGGGCTCTGCTCCAGAACTACCTCGCAAGTTCATCATGACCTCATCCGCGCTCGCCTTCATGAATCTCGCAGGCTACTCCGCCTACTCCCCCGCCAAAGCCGCAATTCGATCCCTCGCCGACGGCCTCCGCTCCGAAGTCCAGCTTTACAACGCGGCGCGGCGCTCCAAGACGAGTAGCACCGGTGTTGTACCCGCACCTTTCGACGTCGATATCCACATTGTCTTCCCAGGCAGCATACTATCCCCCGGTTTCGAGAACGAGAACAAGACGAAACACCCCGTGAGCTTCGAGCTAGAGTCGTCCGATCCTAAGCAGACTGAGCTGGAAGCTGCGACTGCGGCGGTCAAGGGACTAGAAGGTGGCGATTTCATGACTCCTACAAACTGGCTCGTGCATCTGATGCGGTATGGCTCCATGTCCGGTAGTCAGAGGAACAACGTGGTTGTCGATACTATCGGAGCGTGGATTGCGACAATCATCTGGTTGGTCATGGTGCCGGATCTGAATGGCAAGGTCTGGGCTTGGGGCAAGAAGAACGGTATGAGCGTGTTCAGGCCGAATGCGCAGTAGATGACGTTTTGTATTGTGAATGGCATAGGCGTATACCCCAGGTGACATTGTACTATCCAATTGAAATGTTAGATTCGCGATCAGCCAAGAACCCCCAGGACTCTCCAGAAGTGGAATCCATCCAATCCGCTCGTGGAATGATGTCTGGCATGTTGTACCCAGGCTGATAAGATCGCAGTACATGTGCCGGTACCTTTTCAACGATAGCATACTCGCCCTTGACAAAGCATTGCCATGGATATGGAGTCTTGAACTCTAGTGCGTGTGCATAGCCAGGTTCAACATCTTCTATATCCTCGAGATCTACCGGGACGCCAGTGACCAGAACGTCTAAGCTAGGACACCAACCACGCGCATCGAGGTATTGGAAGAAATTGCTGGCAAATACCTCTGGTTGGAGTTCGTACTCTTCCCCGTATGTGTCGCGATGGAAGATGTCGGGATAGTATGTGAATAGAATTGAGCGCAATTGCGTCATCTGCTCGAAACAGTTCTATGATCGTCAGTCATATTGCTACAGTGCGTGAAAGAACCCTGCTTGCCAGAAACTCTGCATACTCCTCATCTTCGTCTTCTTCATCTTCGTCATCTTCCCCTTCCCATATGGAAGCTTCCATGACATCCTTCGATATTGGTAAGCGAAGATGTTCCACGTTCTGGCATATCGAAAGTAGGCGCGATAATTGATCGTCCCAATCGCCGAAAGGAAACGTAGTGTATCGATTCTGAACGCCGAGACTCTTCAATCCAGGGCCCCTGCGCTCGATCATGCGCCAGAATTTGTCTAGATTGTCCTCCTGATGATCCCAGACGAGATGCAGACTAGTAAGGTTTTCGCAGCAGTAAAGCAAATCTGAGATGGAATCCCTGCCATCAATGGCAACATACACATGCTCCAAAGCAGGGGTTCTGCCGTTGAGGCTAGACACAAACTTGTCGTAAACAGTGGCGTTCTCACAATTGAACAACGCAAGAGTTTTGACGTTACTGAAATCGATGGTGGCTGCCAAGCAGCACCAAATCTCGTCAAACTCGACGTTGTATAACTTCAGGTGGGGCAACTTCAAGAGTCTGCTTTCTGAGTCGGCGGATTCGTGTACATTGTGGTCGTGTCCCTCACCGTCGGCCCGAAAGTTTGTGAGATCTATACTCACCCGCTCGAGGCAACGGATCTGTAGATGTCGCAGTTCTCGTTGACTACACTTGAGCAGATGAAAGATGTCTTTTCGGAGACTTCGGCCCATGGCAATGAATCTAAGTTTGCCTAGTGATCAGTCTCTATCGTAACTTATGGTGAGATGAACTAACCTGAAGGCATGAAGCTGATTCTTTGGAAGCATGGAGATCAAAAGATGCATCAGCACGTCTCTTGCATCAGCCGCACTAGCCAGGTGCTCATGGTTCGGCGGTGGTGCATCATCCGCTGGGTCACGTAACTCATCTTCGAAAGATAAGCTCCTGATGTGACGCAGGTGGTAACTGGCCCCTGCAGCGATGCATTTGAAGAATCTTGTCAGGCCTTCCTCCCTAGTGTGTAAGTAGACAGTATGGTACAGTCGCGGTAAACTGAGGTTGCGCAGGTGTTTCGACGTCAGACAAAGAGATTTAAGGTCGCGTTTCGTATGGATGTATCCGAGTATGAGTAGCTGGACCTCGTTCGAAAGAGACTGCATGACGCGTTGAGATACCTAGGTAGTGTGGAGGAGAGAGATTTTGCGGGAAGTCGCGAATGTGGACGCGACGCGCTGTTCCACTTTGTTCGCGTTGCCCCGCTGTTTAAGGAAGCCGCCAGGGGTCCCCAGCACGACGTCACGTGAGATAACCGTGCCCCTCATCCGACCACTTCGCACTCCCATTGCGCAACCAATCCTCCATCCCCACTCATCGCAGCATGGACATTCACGCCCTCAATGTCCGCCTGAAAGCCGAGCTTGTCGAAGATGTCAAGCGGACGAGACTGGAATACGTGCGACTTCCGCGTTGAACAGCACAGCGCCAAACAGACATTTGTTGTTAGCTGATCGCATTTCCCAGCTTTCGCTCTACTCGGATCTGAAAGCGCTTTACTTGGTTTCGAAGGACTGGAACAGCATCGCTACGGAGTACCAGTACCGAAAGACCGTGCTACAGAACAGTACATATGCTCGCGATGACCGGCTGTCGAACTGGCTCTTTCCAGGCACTGCCACTGTATTCCGGCGATGCCTTGACATCAGCGCGCGAAAGCACTTGATACACACGCGGAGTCTGAACCTACTAGAGGGTATACGACATGAACCAGGGTCTGGCTCAGCTAACAATCTTGCCTCCGGTAACTACGCTGTCTCTGTCCGTGTGTAAATATCAACCACTACAATACCTGTCCAGCTCATCCAAACTGCGGAATCTTGTTTACTTCAGACTACGGAATAACGACAATTTCGACACCTCTGTGAACGAAGACGGTAAAGCGCTGGTGACACGGAACCAGATCTGCGGCACTTTTGTCTCCACATGCGTGAACTCCAAAATGTGTCTTCAGACTCAATAACACAGCGCGCTTTCTAGGAACCGATCGAAAAGCTTAAGAAGCTGAATATGCTGCATCTTTATCAAGGCCGCAACACCAAAGTCCCTATTTTCCTCCTCTCTGCCTGAAGTGGATGCTCGCGACATGCATCACCGACTCGCGACACGGTTTTTTTAATGGACACATACACGATGTCCCTCCTGCAAGATGCTCATAATCGCGTCATATTCGGTGACCTTTCATTATGGGGAGACATATCCTGAGCCGGACGGAGGGAACGCACGTCTAGGATTCTCATACAACATCGTGGAGAATTCAGCGTAACAGTGTTTCTCAAAGAAGGTTGAAGAGCTCGACGATGGGACCTCCCAAATCGAAGCGACAAGACTCACTCGAAGTCGACTTTGAGCGGACTGTCCAGAACTGTATGTATTTGACTACGATACCGCCACTCTGGTAGCAGATCGCGTGACCTAAGAGGTTGTATAGCATGCGATGGTTTTGGCTTGGGCCGGGAAGCGAATGAGCCTGGTTCCGGAACCAGATTTTCGCCTCTCAGGCCCCCAGTTTCATACGTCAAGTTGAGCATCTACCTCGGCGGATGCAGCTACAGAACATGTACAGGGGCACCAGCGTTGACCATCACATGGAATTGAGCCAAGTCAGATTTGCTAGCGTGGAATGCCCTGAACGAAAACACGGCTCGGATGCGTGTCATGTCCAGTCTCCCGGACCTGCGGACTCATGGGACCGGCGCTACTATCGACGATCACGACGATCATCCAGAGGGCCGTCGTCTCATCGCCTTTGCTAGAACATCAATACGACCGAGACAATTGCCGATATCATGGTATTTCCAGAGCTGCATCATGTGCGTAAAAAGACTGATTGACGGCTCAGCAGCAGGATCCAATAGTGGTTCTCCGGAAGCGAGCCGCTGGACCCTTGCCCCAAGACAAAGTGGAGCTGCGAACCGCGGGGACAGGCGGATGCGGAGACTACACAGAAGGGAGCTGCTATCCCGAGGCTAAAAT